GCATACATCAGTTTTCTCTTGCCAAAACAATAGGGGATAGGCGGAACATAGGTCCCTTGCTTTATTATCTATGATATTCGGTAGCAACAAAAGGCGGCCTTTCAGCTTCAAGTAGCAATGGAATTTCTATGGCACATTTCACATGACTTTGGTATGGGTCATCGGGCTCAAAAATGGAGAGAGATGTCGATTAGCTAGCACACAAATGATATACCCTAGGAAATTGCTCGAAGTGTTCGAAATGGTACTAATTTCCCAAAACTAGCTTTAGAAGCAGAACTACGTGAAGGTAGTGAGCGTGTGGTGAGTTCTAGACATCATTGTGCAAGTCCGAAAGACAGGTGAAGGGAGGTGGGTGCATTCAAACGAATCCCTGTGCAAAATTGGGATTCTGTAAAGAAGAAAAGCATCACTGCCTGAGCCGTGAACAAGGAATTCACGGGGTAGGTGAACACGATTCTAGGTCAAAGGAGGGTTTTGAATCATGTTCGTTCCAATTTTGTATAGAAGCTCCTTCAGATGCGGAACTGCTCTGGCAACAAGCGTTCATTCTACTATTTCATTTAACTACCTGTGATGATGTCATTTTTGCATATAAGTCACTTCAACTATTGGAGTCTGTACTGCTTCTTCCCTTGCTACTTAGAGGGGACAGCTCGAAGACCCGTGGAAGGAGGAAGGGGTTACCGGGCCCATGCCATAACCCTCTACCTCCCTTGGTCATGCACAGTCAAGCGAAGAAATCGGCACTAGGGTACTCTAGTGGCAGCAGGGGCTATTCCATCTACCTAATTGTGAATTATTTCGACGAATACGATCAACTGTTTTAGCCTACCTTTAATGTTTCGCCAGGAGAAAAGGATAACTCGTCTGTGTCCACGGCCTTGTATTCATGAGTAGCTTTCACAAGATAGAGCACCTACAACAAAAGCGCATTGACTACTAGCAAAATTAATCTGCACCCTAAGATGCATTCTTCTTTTCTGACACGTGGGGACATTTCCAAGTACGTGACTGACGGGAGTGACCCTCCATAGCCCGGATATGAGAGGTTATGTGGCTTCGTATTTCATTTGACCACAACTGTCCCAGAACGGCAATACCCCACCGCAAAACCGCCCCTATGGTTCAGATGAAGTACTTAAGCCAACTTTCCATCTCCGGGATGAGTAGACGTAATGACGTTTCACTGTGTCAATTGCTAAGTTCAGTATGGTTGTCCATACTCGAAGGATACAAGATCTCTATCCTACTACAAGCAGATGATACTTGAAAACTAAGTAGAAGAGAAGAAGAAGCAGCATCACACCACCTTACGTGCCTCCTTAGTCACTCCTTCTAATGCATGCTCTGTAGGCGGAGCCTCTTCGGGCACTGTTGGGTGCTCCTCATCCGTATCTTCCTCGAATGGATTTTTCGTATCTTTCTCTTTTCTCAGTGTCTCCTTTTCGATTTTGCCATTATCCTTTTCGGATCTTTCAGCTCGAGGAGGTGCAGCAGCCAGTTTCTGAAAAACGTTATATGCATCAAAACATGTGAATTTTTCATAAGTTCCACAACGGCTACACCCAAAATGCCTATGGTGATGGGCTGTGGGTATTTATAGTAAATAGCTTATGAGAAGTGATTTTCCCATTAATACCGAATGTTCCGACAAATGTAAGTCAATATGAGTGAAGCACACGTGAGTGTTAGCCATTCTTCTAACAGGCAGAGGATCGCAAAATCGTCCCTCTCTAAGGAAGTATTAAGACATTCCCTTCGAAAACGTGGAATGTTTTGCTCAAATGACAAATGAAACGAAGATGAAAACAAATAAAAAAGTAATATTTTGGTTCCGACTAGAGGCGTGCTACGCGTTCACTGGGTGTACAGACCCCATAATAGACAAGGTAGATATTTCCGCAATCAGAGGACGAGATGAATACGCTGCCTGCTCATAACGAGGTCGCAGTGCCGCCCACTGGCCACGGCAACACCCAACTTTCATTTCTAAAAGCTGAAGGTGTTTGTTTTCGTCGTTCTGTTATAAATTCCTTCTCATTTCCATCCCTCCCAGACAAGCCTGGGTGCCAACGAAAACCCAAGGAGACGTAAGACTTGCTTGGTTCAATTCGGATTGCGATTCTCGCCTCGGGCAAACGGCCTGCCGAGTCACTACCCTATCCGTGGATGTGCCTAATCGTAAATGAGAGGACATAAACACACCACGCATGAAATTAAACTGTAATTATAGCTTGACAGATAAAGAGAGGTCCGTTAGTGTTGTTGGATTACTTGACTGAGAGGGCAGGATGGTTGTGAAGAATTATGGAAGGTACTAAGAGTGTGTGGTAGGCAGCCGCGAAGGGCAAATGAGATTACCAAAACTGATCTAGGAGCACCACCTCCATGATGGGGAAGAAAGGATTACTTCTTTCACGAACAACTAGAACGTTATACTACAAGAAGCTCAAAACGAACCGGATATATCTTGTTCTCAAACGTTTCCTCTACGTTATCTTCATCAAAC